CTACTCAATTGAAACAAACTGGCATGTCAGAGGAAATAAAACAGTCTGTTCCCTGCTAGTGTAAGTACCCTACGTGTGAAATGAACTGCATGATTGACGGCGGTCGCCGGTCAGTGCAACTGTTCATTGTATACTAGTAATCGAGAGACCGTCTTGATTTAACGCATTTTTATCGTCTCTTCCCCATTTTTACTGCTTTGGACCAAAACACTGGCCGTTATACACAGTAGTGGCTGCCGGTTACCTAGATATTTGGTGACCGCTGGCCGCGTTGTGGAGGTGGCCGTTCTATGCAGTGTCAATTACATGGCAAATTGCACGGGACTGCTGCAGGGTGACCGCTCCGTAGAGGTGACCGTTCTCTGAGGGTGACCGCTAAGACAGGTTTGACTGTATTAGAGGACGCTTACGCACGAAATCGTTCCATATTTGGAATTCGTGTCCATGAAAATACGAATTACTTGCGGCATTACCGTGACAGATGTATAATAATATTACCATTAATAATGTGTTTCTACAATTCTCATTCGATCCCACAGTGTTCATCCAAACCTGTTATGTAAAAAGAAACATTGAATTTATTTGAAATGGTAAGTTGGCATAGATCTGTTTTTAACTTAAATGAAAGGTAAGGTATTTGGTTCACTATTTATGTTTCCATGAGCAGTAGCAATTATTATTATAATACCATTATAGTGTTGTAAACTTATTTATATATAATTTATTTCACTAATTTTACTCAAAATGGCAAACTGATCACTATTGCAGATAGACATTCACATACAGTGTTCTCTACGAGGGGTTTTAACGGTGTGTCACATGCTGTTATCTAAAATTGGTGCTCTGTTTAAATCAACAGTGCCCTGTTATATTTCCTGTGCGCCCTGGTCCGAGACAAAGAATTGTTTACAAACAGACCGTCGCACATTATGTTCCGAATGTGACTTCACACATGTTACAGAAGAATGATGCGTATCTTGTTATTGGCGATCCGCTCCGCTAGGATTGCCCTTATAATCACTTTTGTCGTTTTGTGTGTCTGTGTGTGTACATTTCCAGTGTTTTCACGTATGATTTCTTCTGTGATTTTTTTGGCTTGGCCGATTTCTTTCAAACTTGGCAGGTAGGTCCCACCTTCATTCTAGTTATAAGGAAAAATCTGAAAATTTTTTTTGGCCAACTGTTGCCATAGCAACAGCCAAAAAACTGATTTTTGGATAGCTTCGCGCCAAATGTATCTCCTCCTACAAATTTGGGATAAAACACTTCAAACATAGCTCATTCTACTCAGCTTGAGTGTGGGCACAAAGTTACTATTTGAATTTTTGATATCTGTTTTCATTACCGAGAAATTTGACCCCAAAGTTGGGGTAACTTTTCACCAGCAACGGCTCGGCTGGTTTTGTTCATACTTCACAGGTAGGTCGTGCCGTCACTAATTGGAAAAAAATCCTGGCCCACCACTGCCATTATAACATCCAAAAACTGATTTTTGAATACTTTCGCCCCAAATGTATTACCTCCTACCAGTTTTGTACACAGTCAGCTGGCATCGGTGTCGCTGGGTGTATATGACAAAGGGAAGTTGTGCAACCAAATTTGCCGAGTTCGCAGTTTTTCGCCAATAAAAAAATAACTAAGGCAACAACTCACGGTTTTTCAGCATTTTTGTAATAAAGACATTATTCTCTATCAATAATCCGCCCAAAACAGGAACATTTCTACTAATTCTTGGTTTTTTTCGACGTTTTTCGAAAAACCTGCGATTAGGCTGCGAAAGTAGAACATTCCGGAGGGGGCGAAACGGAAGAGCCAAATTTAACGCGTAAAAATAGAACGCGTATTTTGACCTCTATGCGGTCGTTGCCAAAGAGCCCCGCGTCCATCGCCTGGCGATGTTCTTCCGTTTCACCAGTTGCGTTTTTTTTTTACTACAATTTGGGCAGTACTGTCCGTCACGAAAATTGATGAATAAATTAATACACATAAAATATGAATCACGGGCTAATTCAATGGTCACCGAACACTCCACT